ATTAGTTGATTTTGGTAGTTCTGCTTGGTTGGTATTGATTTGGTGCAATGGATGAGTCAAAGTCTAGTTTTGGCACTGCCTCTAGCTCCACTATTGTTGGTAGTTTGTCTAGTTCTTCTCGATTTCGTGAGAAGTTATCCATTAGCTCCACCCCTTTGAATGGTAAGAATTATGTTGTTTGGGTTAGAGCAGTCGAGGTTTATTATGTGGGTCAGAAACTTTATCATTACTTGACAGATGATCCACCTGTGGTGACTGCTTCCACGTATGAGGCATGGGTAGTGGATGCTAATATTTGGTTTGATTTATGGAATTGCTAGCACACTGGTTTTCTTACCTACGGCCAAACAAGTATGGACACAGGTTTAGGGAATGTATTCTGGTTTTAACATTCTTCGTTGCACATATGATCTTCATCGGTCCTTCTTTCTATCTCACAGGGTGACTTATCTTTGGAGTCTTATCATGCTAAGGTCTGTGGTATCTATGAGGAGCTTAATATTTGTGAGTCAATTTCCTATGATGTTCAGGTTATGTGGCACCAGTGTGAGCATATACAAGTTGCTTGGTTTATATCTAGTGCATCATCCTCTTATGGCCCTATTAGTAATTAGCTCTTGGGGTCTCATAATCTACATCCTCTCAGTGAGGTTTTTAGTCGCCTTTGTCAGTCTTCTGTATCTATGTTTGCACCACCTCTTGATCGTTCAACATTGGCTTCCACTGTTTCTGGTATTTCTAGTACTTCATTCAGACATGGTCGTGGTCGCGACTGTGATTTTGGGATTAGTGGTCGTGGTTGTGATTCTGGGTTTAGTGGATGTGGTTTTGGTTGTCGTGATTCTAGTTTTGGTGCTTGTGGTTTTGGAGGTCGCATGTCAGGGGGAGGTGGCCGTGATTCCCGATTGTGTACTTAATGTGGGGGAATCAATCATACCGTGGAAACTTGTTATGATCTCTATGGTTTTCCTTAGGCTCATCAGGTTGCTATTTTTGAGGACGTTGAACCGCTTCCCCATACTGCCGACACTGTGGTGACTATATCTAGAGAGGAGTATCAGTGCCTTATGTCAAATTGGGCTTCATCCTCTACTGCTATGCTCGCTCAGACAGCTACTTGTTTTGCATTTTCTCGTTCTTCAAATCCTTGGGCCATTGATTCTGGTGCTTCTGATCATATGACTGGTACTTCTACTATCTTTTCTAGTTGTCAGTTTGTTGGTACACCATCTCGTGTTACCTTAGCCGATGGTTCAACCACTGAGATTATTGGTTTGGGTTCTGTTTCTGTTACTTCCTCTCTTACTTTGGACTATGTCTTACATGTTATTTGTTTTTCATTTAATCTTATGTCTATTAGTAAGCTTGCAAAGTCTTTAAACTGCTCCGTCACTTTTTCTCCTCATGGTTGTGTGTTTCAGGATCTGAAGATGAGGAAGAAGATTGGTGGGGGTACTGAACATAGTGGCCTATATTACTTTGCTTATGACATATGTCCTATGTCTGCTGCTCTTCAGTCATCACTATCACCATATCAACATTATTATCGTCTAGGTCATTCTTCCAAATTTGAAGCGTCTGGTGCCATCATATAGTAATGTTAAGGATTTACAATGTGAGATCTGTGAGTTTAGCAAATACCATCGAGTGTCTTTTAATCCTAGGGTTGAGCGTCGTGTGTCGCGTCCTTTTCAGTTAGTACATTTGGATATTTAGGGGTCCTATTCATGTTCCTACTATAGCTAGTTTTCAGTATTATGTTATTTTTGTCGATGATTTCTCTCGTGTTACAGACCTTTATCTTATGAAAACAACATCAGAGTTGTCTTCTGTCTTTAAGTCATTTTATTCCGAAATAAAGACTCAGTTTGATACTTGCATTCGTATATTCCGTTCAGATAATGCATGCGAATATTTTCATAATGCTTTTTTTTGCTTTTTTGATGATCATGGGATACTTCACCAGTCTTCTTGGGCTCGGACTCCATAATAAAATGGGGCTACCGAGTGCAAGGTCCGACATTTATCTGAGGTTATACGTGCTATGTTAATACAAATGCAGATCCCTAAGTCTTACTGGAGTGATGCTGTTCTTACAGCCTGTTACTTGATTATCCGTATGCCCTCCATTGCTCTTGGTGGTCAGATACCTCATAAGATTTTATTTTCTAGTCGTCCTCTCCACTCATTACCCCTTCGGGTGTTTAGGTGCACGTGCCATGTTCATGCATGTGATCCTAACCGGGACAAACTTTACCCCTGATTGATCTAGTGTGTCTTTCTCGGTTATTTGCGTACTCAGAAAGGGTATAAGTATTGCTCACCCTCTTTTCGTCGTCACTTTGTGTGTGCTTATGTCACCTTTAATGAGTCATTGTCATTGCCCTTCTTCTCGGGTACACCTGAGTCTAAGTATGTACTTTTTGAGTCTTAGTATATAATTCCTATAGATGTTTTTCCTGTTCCTATGCCACCCTTGTAGGTATATATTCGTCCACAGAAAGTATTAACAGCCCCACCAATGCTTGTCATCGTGCCTCCTCCATCCTAAGATCCAGTTTCGCCACCACCATTTCCACCTCCACCTCCCCCATCACTTGGTCTTCCTATCGCTCTTTACAAATGTATTCGGTCTTGCACTTCTCATCCTATTGCTCAGTTTGTTTCCTATGATCATTTTTCTCCATCTCTTCGTGCTTTTACTATTTTTGTTTCATTCATTTTTGTTCCTAACACTATTCAGGAGGCCTTATCTGTTTCTGAGTGGCGGATAGCTCTTGAAAGTTTACCATTGGATGTTGGTGGGTATTTACAGTCAAGTATAATTTGGATGGCACGATCGAACAATACAAGGCTTGTCTTGTGGCCAAAGGCTATACCCAAACGTATGGAGTTGATTATGCGGAGACTTTCTCTCCGGTGGCCAGAATTACCTCTGTTCGGGTTCTTATTTCTATGGCGGCCAATCTTGGTTGGCCTTTGTTTCAGCTAGATGTCAAGGATGCATTTCTACACGGTGACTTGTTCGAGGAGGTGTATATGGAGCAACCTCCTGAGTTTGTTGCTCAGGGGGGTTCTTATTTGTTGCTCAAGGGGGTTCTTAGGTGTGTCGCCTCCGCAAAGCCCTCTATGGTCTTAAGCAGTCACCTCGAGCTTGGTTTGACAGGTTAATTTAGTGATGCTGTATTGCAGTTTGGTATGTGTCACTCTCATTCTGATCATTCTATCTTTTCTACTCAATCAGATCGGGGAAAGTAGTGTTGATTGTGTATGTGGATGATATCATTATTATTGGGAATGATCAAAATGGTATTAATGAGATAAAATAATTTTTACAATGTCAATTTTACACCAAAGATTTGGGTAAGTTACGATATTTCTTGGGTATTGAGGTAGCAAGATCCAAGCAAGGGATCAATCTATCCCAAAGAAAGTATACGCTGGGTATTCTAGAGAAGACTGGTTTGTTAAGAGCAATACTTGTGGAGACTCTTATGGATCCAAACGTCAAACTGTGTGTTGATCAGGGGGGAGATATTTTCTCATTCAGACCGTTATCGTCGCTTGGTAGGCAAGTTGAATTATCTCACCAATACACGGCCTGATATCTCATTTACTGTTAGTATGGTAAGTCAGCTCATCTCAGCCCCTCGTCTTCCACATTGGGAAGCTTGTCTTCGTGTTGTGAAGTATCACAAGGCTAATCCTGGACGTGGCCTATTTTATCGTTCAAAATGGTCATTTGCGTGTTGAGGCCTTTACCGATGCTGATTGGGCAGGATCACCATCTGATATACGGTCAACAACTGGGTACTGTACTTTTGTTGGTGGGAATCTAGTTACCTGGAAGAAGAAGAAATAAATTATTGTTGCTTGGTCCAGTGCTGAAGCAGAGTATCGTGCCATGGCTCATACTACATGCGAGGTTGTATGGTTGAGAGCTTTGCTCGAGGAGTTGGGGTTTGGCATACGGTTACATATTCCTATGTATTGTGATAATTAGGCAATAGTACATATCACTTTGAATCTGGTATTTCATGAGAGAACTAAACATATTGAAGTAGATTGTCATATTGTTCGGGAGAAGATAGATAGTGGCATGTTGGTTACCTCTTTCGTGTCTACAGCAGTTCAGTTGACAGATATCTTCACCAAACCGTTATTTAAACCACGTTTCGATTTGTTATGTAACAAGCTGGGATTATGTGATATTTATTCTCCAACTTGAAGGGGAGTGTTATAATAGAGTTTAGACTAAGTCCTACATTGGTTGGTTAGGTTATGTAATTAGTCACCACATAATATTCTCCACATTGGTTGGTTAGGTTATGTAATTAGTCACCACATAATATAAATAAAGCTCTCTTGTGTAGGGTTGGTTAACAGTACCCTAAACACTTTTCTCTCTGATCTCCAGTAACAACCTCCATTGTAGATTGCTATGATTAGCCTTCTAATTGATTTGAACATTAATTATTGCTTTTGAAAACAAAAACCAAGTATGTGATATTAACAAATTAATCAGGAAATCAAGATCATTACATAAAACGGACATATTATAGAAATTTGGGGGAAAGACAATAAAACTGAAAACCAGAAAAGAAAATAAGATTATAGATAAAAGAATCAACCGAATCGGAGTTATATGGAAAAAGTAATCAACGATCTCACACTACAAGAAAATCGGGATCTAGTAACGGTCAAAAGCGTAAATAAAGAACACAAAAAACGTCGCTAAAGGCTATACCAACGGTTCACCAACCATCGCAATATATCCGTCACTGTAGAGTTATAGCGACGGTTTTGACAAGCATTGGTACAGATTATTTTTAGTAACAGTTTCTTTAGCGACGCTTATAACTGTTGCTAAAGACAAATTATTATTATTTTTTGAAAAATCACTGTTTTGGGACATAATGGCCACGTGTCCTCCACGTGGTGCTGACGTGTCACCTGCATGTCGCGTACATGGCACCTGTATGGCAGCGTGCAACAAATTTTGCTCCTCCTGGGAATCGAACCCAGGACCTCGCGTTTTAGCGCGAGCGCGAGAACCAACTGGGCTAGCACAACACTTGTGTAATGTGACATCCCAATTTTTCAGTAAAAAAAAAAAATATTTTGACGCAAATAATTAAATTTTTCATTTTTCTTTTCAAACTTCTTGCTAAAAATATATATATATATATATATGTTGGACTGCTTATTTTTGGCATTAGTTACCCGTATCGCTTAAAATTCTAAGTTGAGTTAAAATTAGGAATTGTTCCCCCACAAGTGACTATTTACCATGGAAGAGAAATGTTGGATTGATTGTCTAATTAGATTAGAAAAGTATCGGTATATACGTGGGCAGTTTACGAAATGAGAATATACAAGAGGTAGGGTTTCATCCTTTCATCATATTAAAAAGAGAGCGTGGCTGCCTTGTGGAGAGAGAGGGAGAGAGAGAGAGAGTCGTTGCAGAGGTTTGTGACGAGAAGAGCAGAAAGGTTAGCAATCTTGTTCCTGTATTCTTTTTCCCCTTCTCTTTTACTCCCCCAGCCGTATATATGGGTATGTATATCGCACATTTTTGTAGCATCAGTGATGAGTTTTGAAGCCCATGTGAACAGGTATAAATTAAGGGTTTAGATCATATGCTGTTAAGGGGTGAGTTGCATGTGCGTACATGTGTGGCAATGGGTTAATAGGATTTGTTGGTGGATAGGTTTCTAGTGCAATTAGTTGTAGGTTAAATATTAAATTACTGTATAGTAGTAAGTTTAAGCATTAGAGTTACAGTTCGAATAGTTGGTCTTTTTAGTGTTAATATGTGTGTACATATTCTTTTAATTCAGATTAGCAGAGAACGTGAGCATTGCATTTGCGATCAATCCTTTCAATCAAGGTGAGTAGTTAAACATGTGATCCCTTCTTTTGGAATCCTCTTGAGCCTATCAATTCTTGACAGTTCGTTATTGGTTGTGACCCGATGATAATTATTCTTATTCGTTGTTCTCATAATTGTTGACAATTGACGTACCATTTGGCATACAAGGTTATTTGAGAATATATGTGATTGATCGAAGCCCTTACTTTTATTGTCGTCGATTCATTGACTCCATAATATTATTGTGACTACCCAACGACACGGGGAATAATCCTGGCCGGTTAGGTGACTCTGGTTCGTCGTTGTTCTTATGTGTTTGGGACCATGGATTATGTTTATATTTGTGAAAGTCCAAGGAAAAGACCCGTGAGATATCGTGGTGACTTTGGCCGCTAGGGAAAAGACTTGTGAAATATCCTGTGACTCTAGTGCTTAATGGATAGGGAAAAGACTTGTGAAATACCCTATGACCCTATTCCGGATCGGCTTAGAGAAAATGTCCCAGGCGCCATCTTGTGGTGATTCTATATACGGTGTTGGATCCAACGGGCGAAGCCCTGAGAAAATATTTGGCATTTGGTACTTGGTAATTGGAAGATATGGTTCCCACCTTGGTTTGGATTTCCATTTATTGCGGTTCATCGTTCTGAGATTATTGAGCAGACCTATTGATATAAAAGGCATGTTATTGTTATCCAAATTGTTCTTGTGAAACAGTGATTCATCTCGTCGATACCTTTTGTGAGCCATTGACTTTGTCGTTCGTTATTTAGTTCGTTGATATGAATTGTTGAACCATCGACCCTCATTATTTGAAACCATTTCTTGGAACCCACAATATCTTTCGTTTAAAAGTATGCCACGTTATATTCTTTACCCTAGCATGCTTAACTACTCACTGAGCTCATCAGTTGACGGATTTATTCCACATTTATTTTCAGGTTAGTGCATGGGGCATTGTAGTGGACTCTGCGGCGTTGTCGGGACTTTGAGTTTGGACCTCTAGGGTGTCTGCATTTTTATTTATTTTCTATTGTCAAACAGCTTCCGGACTTTTATTTATTGGCAGTTCATTGTGGAATTTGGAGATTAAAATATCGGATATTGTGTCATTTGCTTAAGAAAAATATTGGTTTGGTGTCGCACATTTTATTGTAATAAAATGTCCAGTTTTTCTTTTATTTGTTTCAAGTTACTAAAAAATATTTTTAATTAGGCTACGTGTCTCATGATTGCTTCATGGTACACAGCCGGTCATGCTCCCAAATTTGGGGTGTGACATGTAAAATGAAGCACCTGCTAATATTTATACTATATTAACCAGATTTTTCTTAATCCAATTTTTTAGTAACGGTTATTAAAAACCGTCGCAATAGTCCGGTTTATAGTAACGGTTATTGAAAACCGTCGCTATAGTCTAGTTTTTAGTAACAGTTATTAAAAACCGTCGCTATAGTCTTGTAATCTAGTAACGGTTGCATGAAAACCGTCACTATAGTCTTGTTTCTAGTAACATTTTGCAAACCGTCGCTATATATCATCTATACCGACGGTTTTTCCAAGCGTTACTAAAAAAACCGTTGGGAGATCCCAAATTTCTTGTAGTGTCATTCTTTCCAAACACAATCTAGTTTACATCATATAATTTTTTTTGAGAAACGAAAGGGTAAGAAGACTCTTATAAAAGAAAAAAACAGTCAATGTACTTTTTTGGGAAACAGAATTATAAAAGGTGTGTGTGTGTGTGTGTGTGTGTGTATATATATATATTAAAGTTTTGATATATGTACATGAAGTGTGTTGTGGTTTGTATTAAGTGAGGTCATTAGAAGGGCATTATGGTCTTTTCTTATTCTTAGTAGTGTATTGTTTCCTAGTGGAACTTGTATTGTTTCCGAGTGGATCTCAGTTGGGTATAAAGGGGTTTTCCCCTCTCATTTTGTAATCAACGGAAATAGAACTCAAGAATTGGGGAATTCAAGAACACGACTGTTTCTCTCTCTAAATCTTTCTTCTATCTTCATTTCTGAAATGGATTCTGGTTTTCTTCATGGTATCAGAGCTTTCCGACGAGAGTCCTGTGATCCTAAGGTGTAGATCTGTGTTATTCTCAACATTTTCTCCGACAACACAATAGTTCTCTTCTTCGTCTTTGTCATGGCTACGGTGACGGTAACCCTACCTCCTTCGAAACTGTTTCTTGTATCGAATTTTCACTCGTTTGTCAACATTAAGTTGGATAGCACAAATTACTTGTTATAGAGGATCCAAGTTGAGAACGTGATGCAAGCAAATGGATTTTATGAGTACTTAGAAGGATCTGTTGCATGTCCCTCTCTACAAATTAGGTCAGATGATGGAAACTTAATTCCGAATCCTGCATTTACTCTGTGGAAACTCATAGACACACATCTTCTCTCATGCTTGACAGCATCACTCTCTCCAACTACCTTGCCTTATATTTTAGGGTTACACCACTCACATGAGGTTTGGGAATCTTTATCTAATCGGTACAATACTCTTTCGAAGAGTAATGTTCAAGAGTACAAAGGCAAATTGTATACCATTACCAAAACATCCACCATGGAACATTACATTGATACAATCAAGGAATATGCTCAAAAACTAGCAGCAGCAGGAAGTCCAGTTGAAGATGATGATCTCATTTTTCACACTCTTAGAGGACTACCTTCTGTTTTCAATGGTTTCAAGACTATGATTAGAGCCCTACAGCAACAAGGTCATGGTATATCCTTTAATGCAGTTGTCACAATGCTTCATGGAGAGGATGCTCAACTTCTTCAGGAATCCCCCCCAGTTAGTGACACTGGAACTGTTCTAGTTGCTACGTAACATCATGGAAAGATGCCAGCTAGTTCTATGCCTCCCTCTTTGCCTACTCAACCTTTAAGTGTAACATCCTCTTCTTCCTATAATGATTTGACTCAGACATTTGGTTAGCTAGGGATTTCTCCACAGTATGGGTCTATTCAGAGTGTTGGTTTACCACAGCAACCTAGTATTGCAAATGTTTTTGGACCAACTCAGACCCTACATACTCAGTTTTCTGGATCTATTGGACAACCGGTCATGACTCAGCCACACATGCCTTATTCTTCTATGCCTCCTCAATTCTTTCAACAAACATTCAGAGGATTTGCTAGAGGAAGAGGTAGAGGTCCACGTTTGCCATGTGATATCTATGGTAGAAGCAATCATACAACCAACTATTGTTACTACAGACCTCCTTCTCCATCTTTCTTTCCTAAGTCACCATGGGGGCCACATGTTCAAACCTCACCACAAAATTCTCCTTGGATGTCTCACTCAGCACCTTGGATGAATCCTTATCCATATACCTATCCCACTGGCTTGCCTATGTATCAACCTTCAATTCCTCAATCACCATCTATGATTTCTTCTCAGACCACTAGACCAAATGTGACAACACCACAACCAGCTTTTCCTGGTTTTACTGAAACATGTTCTGTCCCCTACATGGACCAGTTTTCTGGAGTACCCTACATGGATCAGTTTTCTGGATATTACCCAGGCAATAGTACACTACCAAATGCTTTTCCAGTCAACAATAGAGGTTCACAGTATCCTACTTCTGCACCTGCCTGTTCGTCAGTTGCAAGCACTTCAAATTCTTCCTCCCAGCCATGGTATTTTGATAGTGGGGCTACCAATCACATCACCAACAATTTGCAGAATTTGACTAATCCCCAACCTGCACATGTGATTGATGGTATACTGGTGGGCAATGGATCTCATCTTCAGGTTTCCCACACTGGCAAAGGTTTGTTACCAACTCCTTCAAAACAGTTTAAGCTTTCTCATGTCCTACACACACTTCAAATCACACATAATCTCATTTCTGTTCATCAATTTGCTAAAGATAACCAATGTTCTTTAATATTTGATTCTTCTGGACTTGAAATCCAAGACAAGAATACTCACAGAGTCTTGTACAAGGGACCATGTCACAGGGGACTGTACCCCATTCTGACCTCCTCTGATCTCTCTACTGGTACCAACTATTCTACTGCTCTTGCAAACATCTCTTCTTCTAGTAGTATGTTGTGGCACCAAAAACTTGGCCACCCTAGTCTTCCTCTGTTTCAGGTTTTAATAAAACAGCTTGGTTTGCCTGTAACTAAGCCTCATTTGCTTCATTGTACTTGTTGCAACATGG